TAATGGTTTTTATACTGTACAGACCGTATATTCTATTGCCCTACACCAACCCTACCCCTAAACCTACCCCTCACAGGAGACTTTGTGCTATTTCAGATTTTCAATACACTCCATTCTGTGTGATTTATAAGCGTTTTGAAAAGGGGGTACATGGGGTAATGTCCTGAAAAGTCACCTTAATACCTGAATACCTGTCATACCTTTGTCATTACACAAATGTATATCCTCATTTGTCACAAAAACGCACACACACACACACACACACACACAGTCACTCACACACACACACACACAGTCACTCACACACACACACATCAGTCAAAAAACGATGTATACAGTATACATCCTATGAAAGCTGAATAAATAAGATTTCCATTGATTTATGGTCTGTTATGATAGGGCAATATTTGGCCGAGATACAACTATTGGAAAATCTGGAATCTGAGGGTGCAAAAAAATCTAAATATTGAGAAAATCATCTTTAAAGTTGTCCAAATGAAGTTCTTAGCAATGCATTTTACTAATCAAACATTAAGTTTTGATATATTTACGGTAGGAAATTTACAAAATATCTTCATGGAACATGATCTTTACTTAATATCCTAATGATTTTTGGCATAAAAGAGAAATTTATAATTGTGACCCATACAATGTATTGTTGGCTATTGCTACAAATATCCCCCAGCGACTCAACACTGCTTTTGTGCTGCAGGGACACACATTTATGCAATGCTGAACATCTTATCTTTTGTCAACCATTACGATTTTTATTTATTTAGGCCTATTTATTTTTGCATTGTGACATTATTTTAGAAAAAATAACACATTTTCAAATCTCTATTTAAAAAAGGAAAAGAAATATGACCTAGACGTGTGTTCGTGCGATTCATCCAGTTGTTTTTCACATGACATCTGATGTGAAACGCTAGCATGGCCTTGTCTTTAATATCGATGAATCGGCATGGGTTTAGACAGGAGGATCATCGGGGCCCACTTCTTCAAAAAGTTAAATCTGGATCAGAATTATCTGGGGGCAGTTGTTCAAAAGTAATCTGATCGGATTTTGGCTCGGATTGGATCAAATCTTCAAAATGGGTTGTTCAAAAGAAAAAAAAAAAGATTCTGAATTTGGAATAGATCACAAAATCCAATCCTGGTTTTGATCTGAATTAAATCCTCAGTTTGTGTTGTTCAAAATGTTTTCGTAAGATCGGGATACTTTTGATCCAAAAACCTGGATTATTCTGATCCCAGCAGAAGGGTGGATTTCAGGAACAAAAATGTAATACAACTTTAAAGCTGGTCCAAAAAATACAACATTTGTAACATGTAATATATCCCCAAACAGCTGTCAATATCAAACAAAAATATTATATTTAATTTAAAGTGTTTGTTTTTTATCACCGATTGTAAACTACATTGGCACACTCATCAGAGTTGGACCAGTCAGAAGCAGTAATTAGTGTAAATCCAATGCAAAACTAGAATGCAAAACATGGGATTTCCAAATCCAGATTATTCTGATCCAGATTAAACAACTGACCCCTCGATGTGGAAATCCTATGTTTTGCTATTCTCACTTTTGTGCTGTTTTTCTTTGGATGTGATACTTTTTCAGATGACCAAATCCAGAGGGTTAGAAGATCATTTGAGAAACAAGATCATCAGTATTTTTTTGTTCATGCAATGAAAGTCACTGGTAACCAAAACAGTTTTGTTACCAACAGTCTTCAAAATACCTTATTTTGTGTTGTGCAAGGTCATGTATAAAACTACATGGGGGTGAGTAAATGACAGATTATTTATTTATTTTAATTTTTTTGGTGAACTATCATTTTAATGTTTTATTTATGTGTTTGTTTGTTTGTTTTTATTTTATGTTTAAAATAAATTAAAATTAATTAATTTAATAAATAAAATAAATTAAAACTCTAACGAAGAAACTAAAACGGCCAGCAGGTGGCGGTAAATGTCTTTATGAGTCATTCATTCAGTCGATTCGTTCAAACGGCTGATTCATTCAGGAATGAACTAAACGGCTCTCTCTGTGAATGGACCTTTGAATAATTGGTTCACACGATTCGTTCAAAATTACGATTCAAACTAAACACCGCTGTGTTGCTCACAGACGCACAACGGTTCAACAAACTGCGCAAAAACACATAATAGTGTGTTTAAATTCATCACAAT